TGGCCAGGATTCTCACCCGGCCCTGGTTGGCTAGCTCACTACACATGTGTGGGCAATACATGGCTATTGACCCTATATAAAGAGCTCTGCTCAGTGCTCTGGGTGACACGGTGGCACAGCTGCAAGACTGCAGGAGAACAGAGGCTGGAGTGGTGGCAGCGCCGAGGACAGCGAGACTGGGATGGCTGTGTGATCCGAGAGGCCCAGAGGCAGAGACCAGCTTGCTACATGCAGACTCACTCTGTGGGGTGTAACCCTTTCACCCCAAGAACGTTCTACTGTCATTTATTTGGTTGCATTGAATCCATAGTGAACTTGCCCGGGGCTGAAACCCATTGGCAAGACACTTTGCTTTTTCCTTACTTTTTCTATTTGAATTTTTCACTTTAAAAAGCTTTCCATCCATCCATTTTCAGATGTAGAACAAGGTAGGAGTTAATTGTTTTTAGGCTATTGTGTCAGGAGTGGGTTTGTTTACAAAGAAACAGAAATAATAGAATAATGGTGATTTGGTGATCGGATCCCACTGGGACCCAGCTGGCCTCCTCACCCCCCTTCCTTGCTTCTCACCTAGCTGCCTTTCTTGGGGCCACGGGGATCTCCCCCTTTAGGAACCTTCCGAGAAAGTCTCCTGGGTGCTTCTGCCAGCACTCACTGGCCACGCGAAGCTGCAGGACAGGATGGTCAGGGAGGCCTCTTTCTTAGCACATGGGGTGGGCACTAGCTGCCTCTGCACGTGAAGCAAGGTCCCAGGGCCCCCCATTAAAGGGTTGTGGTGTCCTGCTGGTTTGAGGCCACCACCTCTGTGATCTCCTATGAAGGAGATTTTTCTGTGATGCTCCCAGCATAGAAGTTGCCTTGGAAGATTTGTGGACTGCGTGACACTGAGCTCTGAGGCGGTGATGACTGAGTTGTGTGCAAGGAGGCTTCAGGGTGGTTTTTATGTAGACATCTTGGCAGCTGGGAAAGTCCTTTGAGGTCTTGATATGTGAGAAGAGTAAATTCCTCATTTTCATTTTTGAGTAAAAATGATCAGAACTTCTTACGGACATAACTCTGTGGAACACTTTGAGAGTTGAATGTGTAGGTACATTCAGTATTGGAAGCAATAGACTAATAAAATGACATGTTGTATCTGAGGCTCGCCACTCGGCATGTGTTTAAGTACTTAATTGTGAAAGTAACATGCAGTTTTTTAAAGTGCTGAAAACTACTTGTAGTGTTAGTATTAAATAAAATAATCCAAACTACTTTATTTAGCACTGTTTACATTTCTGTCCACTATTACAGAAATAATGAAATAATGGTGACTTTCTCAAAGGACTTTCACAGCTGCCAAGATGTCTACATAAAAACCACCCTGAAGCCTCCTTGCACAAAAGTCAGTCATCACTGCCTCAGAGCTCAGGGTCATGCAGGCCACTTAAATGGTGTCTGGTAACAAATCAAGTTTATTCCAGTATAGGGGTAAAATACTATTTCTTGGAAGGTTGTTTTTTTTTTTTATGTCATTTTATGGGGAATGTAGGTCTTAAATAAACAGGGATATAAGCAAAATATTTATTTTATCAAAACTTGGTTTGATCCATTCCACACATTGACCGAATACTCACCATGAGCAACCAGGGCTCCGGTGTTGGAGGTTGTCTTCCTTGGGCAGAGAGACTCCGGCCTGTCACCACACAGCTGTGAAGAGCTCAGGCTGGGCCGAGGAAGAGCTGGAGTGTGGGGCACAGTGGAGAGGACATGGCCACACCTATCCTGTAGGTTCTGTTGAATTGTTCCAAGTCCACAGATCTTGGCTCGGCCAGCAGTTCTCCCCCGCTGCTCTGCTGCCCTAGTCCTCACCCAGCCCCTTGTGCTTCTGCTGTCCTTGCAGGTTCCACTAAGTGCCCGCTGAGCAGGAGCTGGCAGCCAAGGGGGCTCTTTGGGTTTGCTTAGATGTCGTGATGAGTTTGCCCTCCTGTGCCTTTCTGTCCCACCAGTGCTGTCATGCTCCAGAGCCATGCAGTCCCCTGGGAGCTCTAGGAGTTATGCAGGGCCTCACTGGCCCCTGTGTGCCCGAGGAAGGGCCACTGGGGACTCATCCAGACCTTCTTGTCCAGCCAGTCCACTGGCAGGATCCCTTCTATTCCCAGGAGTCAAAGCAAAGATACTCCTCCTATGGAATATTTGTTACAACAGCTGTTAATTTTTAGATCCAATTTAGTACATTTTTCAGATAGGTACATTATTAGTGTATGTTACTGGTGGATCGCAACCCTGAAATTGGGAAGCCTGTGTGTTACACATGGCACCATTTCCCATTCTGGGAATGTGATCATGCTGTGACCTCATTATTAATCTCTCCTGAAACCTGGGAGGGGAGCAATGCTAGGCAACCACCTCTTATGTCATGAGCAAGTCAACAGACATCTGGAAAAACTGACCCTGTGCTATGTCATTGAGGTTGTGTCTGCAGACTGACCACAGGGTTCCCTTCCCTGGGGTGTTGAGGTTGACTGAGGGTGGGAGGCCTGAGAAGCTGTGGAGGGACAGTTTTGTTATTTCAGATGCATGCAGTTTGAAAGAGTGTTGGCAGCACCTTCTGCTTTGCAGGTTTGAACCAGCCATGACATTTTGGCAACTTAGAAGGCCCTGTTTGCAAGATGCTTTAATGTGTTAAATTTGCAGTTGGGTGGGTAGCATTTTAGCATGCTAGCTTTGGTATTCCTTTCCCATGATTTTGGGCCAATTGCTTAATTATTCTAGTCTGTTCCACTTGGGGGAGGTATAAGTAAATTGACCCCTGAAGGCCAAAGGGGTTGTGAGACCAAAGAAAGGGGCTGACAAGTCCAGCTTGTATGCCACAGAGGCTAAGTGAGGGAGCCTGCCCACAGAAGTGTGTCCTGGGCTGCAGGGCACTTGGGTCTCTGCACCACTTTGTGTTCGGGGAGGCTGACTTAGACAAGGGGGAAGGGTCTGTGTGCAGAATGGCCACCTGTGTATTTAGTCAAAGCAGGGGCTGACGTCTTGACCTTATCTGTGGAATGTTCCCGGTTTGCAGCACACACCCAATGTGGGGAAGGGGTAAGGGAGCCAGTGGTCATTGTGGCACATTTGTCAAGATGGCATCGCTCTTGCTCACCGACACAGGCCTGTATCTTTATTACCAGGTCTCTAAATGTCTGTACCCCTGTGTCTGTTATCAGAACCATCCTGTGAGGTGCAGGAGGGTGTGTGCTCTTAGTGCTTCTGATGGACAGACTTCTCACCTTGGGGGATGGCTGCTCCAGCCACATGGGCTTTTCTGTGAAGAGCCCAGTGCTGCCTTCCAGGGAGCCATCCGCACTGACGGGACTGATGCAGGAGACCCAGTGGGCGTCCGTGCTGACAGGGAAAAGGTTGCTTGTAGCTTCGCCCTGGTGTAGGCATTAACCTGCTAACCTGACCTATCTAGTCCTCCCTACAACATTGCCAAATGGCAGGAAATTTAGGTGACACCCCAAACTTTACCATGTCTGCTGAGCTACTGAGAGAGAGTGAGTTAAAGGCTTAGTAATTGGAAGGATGGAAGCTTAGTCCCCCAGATCTTGGCGTTTGATAGATATTTTGGAAAAATTACTGCTTTTTCGTTTTGATGACTTTTTTGGATTCATTAGAAAATGGACTCATGGCTGTCTGAATCAGCAGCATGCTTGGGGTGAGGTTTTCTTTTCTTGATTTTTTAAATAAAATTAAACTTGGTAAACTTAAACTTTGCCTCAGGGATTGCTTACCTGATGCTGGTGAGTTACCATGAGCAAGGGTGTTGAGGAAGTATTTCCCATTAGAGTCTCGTGGGCGCCCCCAGCGGCCTCCAGTGGCCTCTAAGCCTGCTGCTTACTCCAGGGGCAGTCCCCGCAGACACTGGGGGGTGGGGGCGGCTGACTTCAGGCCGGGCAGTGGAAGCGGGCCTCACACCAGAGCTGATGTGAGTTGCTACCTATGTCTGTGATGTCCCTTCCTTTGTGACTTGACACGAGGCCTGTGAAATACTGCCTGCTGTCAGGTGGATGCTCTGCTGGCTAGTGAGCTAATCACACTGTTATTATGCTACCATTACTGAGCTAGTTTTATTTTGTCTTCTGTTTGCTCTATCAAACTTAGAATGGAAGCAGTAGATTTGACTTGTTATAATTCCTTGGATTGGATCCTTTGGCTCCCCTTCCTTTTAATCCCTAAAAGTAACTGAGGATCACCTGCCTTCCCTTCATACTGAAGGTGTCTTTGGTGTAGACTGTTGACTCTGAAACTTAACTTCCTAAGCCATTACCACCTGCCACAGGCCTGGCGTCATCCCTTGTGGGGTGACAGTGGGAGATCTGACTTGAGCCAGAGGTGTAAGGTGGCTTTGGGGACTCACTCCTCTCTTGAAAATACTCTCTTGAGCTTGGTTCTTGCTTCTGCCCACGTGTACTTGGTCGTTGACTGCCTGCTGCCCTCTTGGAGTTGTAGGGACAACACCGAGTGGAGTAGAAGTGCCTACCCTGTGCCCAGGTCTCTCAGTTTCCCTGAGATGGGATCTTGAGGCTACAGAGTCCTGGGGCCTGGGTATTGTCCACAGCAGGCAGCAGACCCTGGCCGCTTGCACTCAGACCATTGGGCTTTTCGAGGACTGGTATCCGTTCTTCACCTGGTGTGACGCAGTGCATGTGTGCTGCGTCCTGCAGCTTGCCGATGGGACCCTCAGTTTCCTCCTGTGCAGTCTCTGAAGTGACACTTTTGGATAAGTCTTTAAATGCCTCTGGGAAGTTTTGATATTTGTGTTGGCAGGTTCACGCGTGTTAGTCTGTGACGCTGAAGCATACTCTGTGCTTCCACCCACCACAGGGTTTCATTTCATTGTGTACTTGCAGAGAAAAGTCCTGGATTTTTAGTGGCCAGAAATATATTTTAGTGCCATGTTGATGTAGTAACAATGAAAAGTAAGCTTGATGAGTGTAATTGTAACTCTGTTGTTTTTTTCTTTTGTCCACTAGACTTCATGAGGAAATAATTGACTTTTATAACTTCATGTCCCCTTGTCCTGAAGAAGCAGCTATGAGACGCGAGGTGGTGAAGCGGATCGAAACCGTGGTTAAAGACCTGTGGCCAGCAGCTGACGTGGGTTTACTCTACATATTTCTATGTCACATGCTCGCAAATGTGGGCACCCCTGGTGGTGTGGTGGGCTGAGCTGGGCGGTCTTTGTGGGTCCGGTCAGCGAAGGCAGTGCTCCTGCAGCTGTGGCCCTGGGATGGGCCTCAGAGTGTCACCCAGGAGCTTGTTAGAAACGCACATTCCCTGCCCACCCTGCACCTGGCACCAGAGCTCTGGGGTGGGGCCGTGATCTCTGTCTACCCCACCTCTCAAATGTGAGGACCACTGGCCTAAGGGACTTTGGCTTTTGAATGTTCACCCCAGCCCCATCGCATACCATAGCTGATGTTCATTTTGGTGAAGCCTGAAAGCCTGCCTTCACACACCGCTCTTCCAGGGGATGGACGAGGGCTGTGGTGTCCACAGGGCTGGCGCAGGCTGCGTGGCAAGTGGATGGGGCTGTAGGCTCCTGTCCTGTCATCAGCACCCCCTGCCAGTGACCGTGTTAGGGGACTGACCAGCCCTGGATGGGCCGGAGAAGCTGGGCTGGGGAAGGACACGTGTGTTCCCAGTGGGTGGCGCAGCCGTCCAGTTCCCTCTGTTTTCATGGATGTACAGCAGTCGTGGCTTTAAACTTTTGTTCCTTGGGACAAAGCTCTGCCCCTGTGCCTGAGCTGTGAGTTTGAAAATTGTTGGAGGGTTTGTTTGAAACTGGTTCTGCGGAGTCCTTGACTTTGAGCGGTTGTGGGCAAGGCCAGTGATTGTTTCATCTCTTAATTTTAAAGTTTGAAAAATTTCTTTTTGAGGCAGTTCTTTAAAGATTAAGAGGATTTTGGTTGATTATGTTGGGCGCCTCAACCCCACCTGCAGGGCAATGTAAATTTGGCCCAAGAGCAGAAGTGAGGCCTTGTCTAAGTGTGCTGTGGGGAGGGTGACTGCTGGCGTTGTGGTGTGCTCTCAGACAGCCACTCTTTCTTTCAGGTGCAGATATTCGGCAGCTTCAGTACAGGTCTCTATCTTCCAACTAGGTAAGTGCCGGGTCCTGCTGCATGGCTCAGCGTTGACATGTATTGAGCTGGGATGGGGGTGTCTGTATGTGTATTAAGGGCTAAAAATAGGTTCCTTGTATTCAAATCTCAGGCTAGAATTGCAGCTAGAGGAAAAAACTGGAGCATGGGTGGTGGTGGGGGTTGTAGGAAATAAAATATAATTTAGTATTATGATAAATGATTGCTTTGCATTTTCCTCTTGTACTTAATTTGATGAGTCCAAAAATTCTGGACCCTAGAAACAAGAAGGTAAGTAGGAGAACCATACAAGTAAATACTATAGAAAACATTGTTCTGCTGATTTTTATTGACATATTTTTGAAAATCTGATTTTATATTTTTAACAAAGATTCAAGCAAAATCTATTTAAACAGTATTTTTTAAAGATTTTTATTTGGTAGAAAAACACATCGGACAAGTTTGTATTCTAAAATCCTTCTCTAGGGTTCTTTCATCAAGGTCTCTTTATATTCAAAATGGCTTTATGTTCAGTGTTTTATTAAAAGCTTATGTTCTGACCCACTGCTAACATTTGTAGACTAAAAAGGGTATAATCTCAGGATTTGGGGTTGGCATTGGCAGGGCCAGTGGGGAATTGAACAGATTCATGGTGTCAGGATCCTGGGTCAGCAGGAGTGATCCAGTGTAGGTAACACAGGACCAGGACAGTGTAGTTCCAGTGTAGACAGCACAGAAGTAAGGACCAGGACACCTCAGAGGGGCTGGCATTTTCCTATCAGTCTCCCCAATTATCTAGTGATGCTGAGAGAGCCTTTCAGCCTGTTTGCCTTTCACGTTTATGTTTCAAATAGTCTGCAAGCTGCATTTTCTCTCCCTAAGAGGGATATGTTTATGGGGTTAGGACAGTCCTTGAATGAGATACAGTGTACTGTGGCACCTGTCCACCCCAGATGCGTGTGTTACCATGTGTCGTGGCACTGGACCACCTCAGATGCATGTGTTATTGTGTGCTGTGGCACTGGTCCACCCTAGATGTATGTGTTATTGTGTGCTGTGGCACTGGTCCACCCTAGACGCGTGTGTTACCATGTGCCGTGGCACTGGACCACCCCAGATGCATGTGTTACCATGTGCCATGGCACTGGACCACCCCAGATGAATGTGTTATTGTGTGCCGTGGCACTGGACCACCCCAGATGCGTGTGTTATTGTGTGCTGTGGCACCTGTCTACCCTAGATGTGTGTGTTACCATGTGCTGTGAGCAGCAGTGGTTCACAGTCACAAATTCTTCTGTCCAGTGACATCGACTTAGTGGTCTTTGGAAAATGGGAGCGTCCTCCTCTACAGCTCTTGGAACAGGCCCTGAGGAAGCACAATGTGGCTGAGCCGTGCTCCATCAAAGTCCTTGACAAGGCTACAGTAAGTGGGGCTGGGCCCTCCGGCCCGGGGGGTGGGCTTTCTCACACTGCAGGCAGGCGTGGTTTGTGGTTTGCTCATGCTGTTTGTAGCACTTACTGGTTATGTTTTTGATGACATCTCAACTGATGGTATAAATGTGCTTGGTTTTTTTTTAGTTAGGATTACCAGCTAAGAATGTGTTTAGTGACAATCTGAACTATTGTTGGTTGTGAGAGCATCACACTGCACTTGGCAGTAAAACATGACTGGGTCCACTTTGGTTGGGCTGTGTAAGGAAAGGATGTTGGTGTCTGAACTGAATGCATTCAGATGCTGGTGTAGCTGAGTGGTTGAACCATGGCGTTTATTACATAGAAGACGGTTACCATTTGCCCAGTTACACTTGAGAAAGAAAAGAAAAGCTCACCTGTTCCTCTCTCATTGTTCGAAAAATGTGCATGAGAAACCTTCTCTCTTGGGGAGAAGTTGGAGGGTGAGACGGCTTTCAGTGTGTACTCATCCACGCCCATCTCTGTCTGGGATCAAAGCACTCCGGAGTGAAGGTGCCTACCTTTTGTGGGGCTGTCAGTTCCCACCAGCCCTGCCCTTTGGTGGCGCTCCCACTCGGCCCATTGTGTGGACTCCTGGGTGAGAAAGAGGTGGGTGGTATCCTTGTTTACCTGTGCAGGGGGCTAAAGAGGCCATACTTGATTGTCTAGGGTTCCAGAACTTTCTGGCGGACAGACAATAAATACGCTGAGGTGATGTTACAGAACCTGCAAGCTGTGGTGGCCTCATTGCTGTCACACCCCTTTTCCTCGACTGCTGGCAATCCCCTGTGGGCTGAGGAGCGCCTGCCTGCCCCTTCCCCAAGTGTCAGCTGTTGCCTGTGCCCCCACTGGGCTGCCTCCCCTGCTTTCATCAGGGCCTTGGGCCCAGTGTCAGAGCTGTGTTCAAGGAGAAAGCTGTTTTGAATGACCACCAGAAAACAAGTATTGCAGTATTACTACTGATCTCCAGAATCTGGGGTTCAACCTGTGAGTGTAGATGTGTGCGTGTGTCTGAGAGAAGCAGGAGAGGGCCGGGAATCCATGGGGACAGAATTCCATGGGTCTGTAAGAGGTGTTGGGTAGATGGCGGGCAGGTGGCATGGGGGTGAGTGTCAGCTCTGCATTGGCCCTGCTGGGGCCATTGGAGCCTTGGGCTTCTGCAGGACAATTTCTGATAAGTTCTTTGAAAAGTGTTTTGTTCTCCTGCCTATGGGCCGCAGCAGCTGTAGCTTACCTTAGCCGGTGGTCTCCAGGAGCCACTGTCACTGCCTGCTGGCCCCCCGCATATCCTCGGCAGTTTGCTTTGGAGCCCAGATCAGGTGCCATGTTCCTGCATCCATGGCTGTGAGGCACTCTGGACCTTTAATTAGACCCTGATTGTGGGGTGAACATCTTTTTCATTCCTCAGAGGCTGAAGGAAACAAAGCACCGCCTTTTCTCCTGGAAGAACACAGTTGTGCGTGTGGTGGGGGAGAGTGTGTTCTGAATGGGTGCTTGGGCAGTTCTTAAGAGGCTGGTTTTGAGCACCTTTTGGTGATAATTCTTTTTGATGAGGTATTTCCAAAATACCTTTTTATTCTTTGATTTTCAGGGAATTTTTTTTTTTTTTTAGTTAAATTGTCTTAAAGGGTGAAAATCCAAAGCGGCATTTTTGTAGAAATAACATCAGTACAAAATATAATTTAAACAATGGCTTTATATGTTTTCTGAAATTCTAGCAAATATAATTTGGGGACCAGGAGCTCCTCCCAATGGCCATGCTCTCACAGGGATGGGGGCTCCGCCAACTTCTCCTCGTGGTAGGTGGGTGGTGGAGTCGGGAGCTGTCCACAGATGTTACTGTGCAGTGCCAGTCCCAGGGGCCTGAGCTGGAGGAGGCTTGGCTTCCAGGGACCAGTGAGGTCAACACTGGCACGGTCCCCTTTCTTCTCACCTTTAAAATCTATAGTCCATGATCTCTAAGCCCCTGTTGTGAATAATGAGCAAAAACCCTCTGTACACCTTAGGAAACATTTTGATGTCCCACTGTGGAGAATGTTCCCTACTAAAGTGGATTTTTAAAATTAAATCTTCGCAGGTACCAATAATAAAGCTCACAGACCAGGAGACTGAAGTTAAAGTTGACATCAGCTTTAACATGGAGACTGGGGTCCGGGCAGCAGAGTTCATCAAGAATTACATGAAGGTGCTGTCGTCAGCAAGTTAGCCCAGTACAAATAAGGGGCTTGTTATGTTGGTATACTTTTTCTTATAAATGTTAAAGACTTTAAGCTAAATGATAGTGGTTAGTAGGAATTGTGCAGTTGGATTATTGATCCTGTAGTTTTATTTCTAGAGGTAGTTTGAAGTTTCGTAGCTGCTGTGCAGATTACTTTCTGTGGCTGCCGTTTCATCAGGCTGAGCTATTTCAGAGCTTTGTGAAGACGTGCTCTCTGGTTGTGACCACATGACTACCCCTGTTGCTCAGGGAGCCTGATGCTTCCGTTGGAAGTGGAAGAAGCATCATGATGGTGGCCTAGATTTGCTTCCTTTGGAAGGTCTCAGTGCTGAGGGTGGGGGTAGCAGGCTTGTTCAGGAAGCTAACAGATTTTGGGCTCTGAGCAGGTGTGGGTCCAGTTAAATACCTGGTGCTCTCCAACCCCCAGTTCTAGTGGAGGAGGTGACCCCTTGGGGGAGGCAGCCTCTCACCAGTCAGGAGACCACCCGCCTGCAAGCTCAGGGACCTTACTTCTTCAGTTCCTCTCCCGGTGCTTCATCGGCTCATCTGGGGAGCATTGCCTTCCCAGCAGAACATAATAGCAGAATCTTCCACTGCCGCCCCCACCTTGTCTGGCTGTTCTGCTCCTCACATTCTGCTACTGTCCTCCTGCTCCCAGAGCTGTGCCCCTCCCTGCTCTTGTTCTCCCATGTGGGTGTGGGGGAGGCTCTGAGTGTCAGAGTTTTGTGCATCAGTCCCAGGACCCCTGCTCACTCACTGCCACCCCCACTGTGAACAACCCCCCACCTCCCACCCTGCAGAGCCTTGTACCTGTCATTGTGGGAAGTGTTTTAAGGAGGGCAGTCATTCCTTCCCCTTGCCCCACTTTGCCTGGGGGCTATTCATGCAGTGTTCCCCAATCCCTCCCTGCTCTGAGTGGTAACTTGCACAGGGGTCCCTGGAGGGGTCTTAACAAGCCCCTCAGATTATTCTCAGGCCCCTAAATTTGAGGAAGATTGGCCCAGAGGTGCAAGAAGATTGAGTAAGCCTTTCTTTCTACCATGTGAAATTTGCTATGTGAGACATCTTTAAAGGTATATTAACTAACCAGTCAATATTTTTCTTTTGCAATTTACAGAAATATTCGTTGCTGCCTTACTTGATTTTAGTATTGAAACAGTTCCTCCTTCAGAGGGACCTGAATGAAGTTTTTACAGGTGGAATTAGCTCGTACAGCCTGATTTTAATGGCCATTAGCTTTCTACAGGTGAGTGTGCCTTCTCTCAAGAGACCTTAGCAGTGAGACTCAGGTGGGGCAGTGCTTCCTGGGGTTCAGACCCATTGCTCCCCAACCCCGGCATCCCTGCTCACCCTTCACTATTCTGTTTTGGTTTGATAGAAAGTGACTTCTAGTTTTCACAGTGAAACACTATATTGATCAATACTTCTTTCCTTTTTTTCCCATATAGCTTATTTTTTAGATGATTTAACTGCTCGAGGAATTAATCTGGTTCTATCTGTCAGGTATATGTCTGTCTGAAGTCAAGGCAACATTCTACATTTAGAAAACTTTTTTTTTATAGACAACAGAAAAACTATTTTTCTTGGTTCTTGACTGATTTATACCAAAAAATTTGTTTTAGGAAGTGAGATAACATGTGTGGTCAAAAAAGTACTGGAAAGAGCCTTCTCAGATTGTTGAAACATCAGTATTTTATCTTAAAGTACATATTGCCTCTTTTATTGAGTACCATGGAGAAATCTATTGTAGAAACCTACCAAAGTGTTAAGTGCTATGATGTATTAATAAGCTATATTTATATTTGTTTAACATAAAATAATCTCTGAATTCATTGAAACATTTATCCCATTCATATTTTCTTGAATGACGGGGTCTCTGTGGTCCAGCAGGATAGCCCACGAGTCACATGTGCTCACTGAGCACTGGCAATGTGGCTACCAGGACTGACAAACCGAGTTTTTAATTAATTTGTTTTAATTATGTTAAATATAAGTAGCCACATGTGGGTGTCATAATGGGCAGTGCAGGTCTACATTGCTCAGATTTATGAGCCTCTCAAAATCATGAATGATACTCAGGAAGGTGTCAGTAGCCAGTGGCTTAGGTTCAGGCTAAGTCCATTGCCTTATAGGAAGTGTGCTGCTAAGAGGCTGTCACTAATCAGTATGACAGGCAGGGATGTAAGTTTGCTATAAATATTTTGATACAGTGTTAATCACCTTCCACAGTTCTAATTCATCCTTTCCCATTCAGGTTTATGATACTGATAACTGTTCATTCTAATACTGCCCCCTATTGGTTGTATTTCAGAATAATGGAACTGAGATTGGAATTGAAAATTACATTCACCATCTAGATGACTCTAAATTGTGCAGAACATGGCCCACTTAATTATTATTATTTGGAGTGTTGTGGCTAATTAGATGTCTGTGTTTGTAGGGAGTTGCTACATGGATCATGAATTTCAAAAAATGAAAGTATGATTTAAAAATTTAGATTAGGTTCTACATTTTTGTAACGTTCTTTATTGACAAAGGTTCTCCAGGCTCTTGTAGTGCCTCCTGGCCGCCTTGAGAGCCCTCGGTGCTGGTGAGTGAGCAAGTGCCACTGATGGTGTCTCCCTGCAGGGACCACTTGCTAGCTGACTTCATCACCTGCAATCTCCTTCAGAGCATACTTGAATCTATACAAAATGTGGGTGCATTGCTTTTACAGTTGCATCCAAGAATTGATGCCCGGAGAGCTGATGAAAACCTTGGAATGCTTCTTGTAGAATTTTTTGAACTCTATGGAAGAAATTTTAATTACTTGAAAACTGGTATTAGAATAAAAGAAGGAGGTGCCTATATCGCCAAAGAAGAGATCATGAAAGCCATGACCAGTGGGTACAGACCATCAATGCTGTGCATTGAGGACCCCCTGCTGCCTGGTAAGGGTGTCTCCCTGCCCCCCACCCCCATGCGGGGGCATCGCTGGCACACCAGCCCCAGGGAGTTGGGATGGGGCGTCCCCAGGCCTGAGTGCCAAGGGCTGTTCATTTGATCTGATGCTGGTTCTTCCTGTACCATCAGTTAGTGATAACATGTTCTGAAGTCCTGGTTTAACCTTCTCATTAGCTTACTATAAAGTTGAAATTTTGTTTACATTCTGTAACCAGAGAAATGTAGAAAGTGAAAATTAAGAAAAAAAGTTTATTTTTTCTGATAGGAAAGTATTACATATCCATCGTAAGCCATTTACTTCCTAGAAGAATGTCACATAGAAAAAAAGCCAAGTATGTCATAATCCCTTCCCATTTTGGTGTTTATTTTTCCAATTTTTTCCTACATGGGTGTTAACATTTACTGCTGTAATCTTACTAATTAACTGGCATCACAGAATAGAAACAGGTTTGCAGCTTCTTGTTTTACATGACAGTATACCCTCAGCCCCTTCCTGTGTGCACAGGGCACATACTGTCGGGAGGATTGCCATGGTGAGGATCCCCAGGCAGTCTGACACTTTTCCAGTTTTGTTCCCATGGGTATATTTAAGGGCATCTGTATTTCCATACCTTTGGTGACAGTTTTTAATCATCACCAGTCTGAGAAATCGTGCAGCACAGACTTTCATTTAGTTTACGTTTCTTTATGACTAGTGAGGTCAAGCACATTGTTACAGTATGAATCACATAACTGCTCATGGAGCATCTATTGGGTAGCAGACAGGGGACAGGAAAGGGGTGGAGGGTGTCAGCGCCAGGCATAGGGTGCCGTGCATGTCTTTCTGTGGGAGTTCCTGAGCTCTGTCCCTTTGTCTGCTGGGATGTTTCCCTGCTGGTTCTTTTACCCCATAAGCGTTGGGACCTTTCCCTGGTGTCGTGCTGGACTTTTTTTCTTCTAGTTTGTCTTTTGCATCTGTACTTGGTATTTTTTATTGTTTGGCTCCTACATATATATATATATATATATATATATATA